GCGCGGGGCCGCATTCCTGCCCTTATAAGGAGCCCCGGGCCGCGCGCGCCGCGCCGCGCGCCCCGCCTCTCGCCGCCCCCGCGGGGCTTCACCCGCGCGAGCCCGCGGCTCCAGCGGCCGCGCGCGGGGACGCGGCGCTTCCATATAAAGCGCCGCGCTGCCCTCTAAAGCGCTGCGCTATCTATATGCACGTGCCCGGCACGCGCGTGCCCGCGGCTGTGTGCCCTGCCGTCCCTACGGTGTTCCCCTCAGCCCGCACAGTGAGGGAGTCCCTGGATTCCCCTGCAGGAAGAACCAGGAGAGGCCCCGTGCTCAGGGGCTCCACGCGCTGCTCCACTGCAAAGGGGCTGCTCCAACCATCATCTGGGTGGCCGCGCCACCCCTTGCTTTGCTTTCCCATCACACCGYGAGTGCGCGCGGAAAACACGTGTGGAGCAACGGGCAACCCAACCAGCAAAGGCCTCTGCAGATGCCCCGCACAAGGAGGTGGCACGGGCTCCGTGCAGGAGGCACCAGGGCCGGTGCAAGGCCTGGCCGCCCAGTGCCCAGCGGTGTGCCGGCTCCCTTGCTCCGGGGACGGTGACGGGGGTAACTTACATCCGTGGCCTTTTTGTCAGCCAGTTCCAACTTTTCCTGGGCATCTTTAAGGGACTCGGAGTATTTGTCCAGCTCATCCTCAGTGCCCTTCAGCTTCTTTTGCAGAGCCACCAGCTCGTCCTCCAGCTGTGATTCGGGCAGCAAGCGGTGGCACGGGGAGGGCAGGCAGAAAAAGGTGCGGCAGGCAGCGTGACCGTGCAAAGGGAGAGGTGCGGGTGCAGAAGAGACAGCGAGAGGACAGACGGGACGGACAGAGAGAGGGAGAGAAGGAGAGAGACAGTTAGGCGGGCGTGCCGGTGGCGCGGTGGGTACCTTGGCGGCATTCTCCTCGGCCGAGAGGAGGCTGTCCTCCGCCTTGTGCAGCTCCTCCAGCACCTGGTCCCGCGCATCCTCCGTCACGTGCAGTTGCTTTTCCAACTGCACGATGTCATCCTCTAACTGGGTGCACAAGAGGGGATACAAGGCACAGACACATGGATCCCTGCGCCTGGGGAGGCTTTGACACCGGGATGGTGGCGTTGGCGGGGGGTCCGCGTGTCCCTTCCCTCCCTCCCTGCCTCCCTCCCGGGCTCCCGGGGGTGCGCGGCGGGGCAGACCTGCTTGCTGCGCTCCTCGGCCGCCTTCTTGTCGGCCTCGGCCTGCTCGGCGCGGTCCAGCGCGTTCTCCTTGTCCAGCTTCAGCATCTGCATCTTCTTCTTGATGGCGTCCATGGTGGCGGCGGGCGAGGCGGCCCCGCGACGGGCGGCGGCGGCGGCGCGAGGGGAAAAGCCGGGGCAGCCGCAGCGGGACGGGGCGGCCGCGGAGTCGGTGCGAGCGGCGCGGGCGGCCGGCGGAGTGCGGGCGGCGCGGGCAGCGCCTCACAGATATGCGCTTTCCCAGGGGGCCGACTGCATTCCTCAAGACATCCAATACTTTTTTGGAAAGGGATTTTTTTTTTTTTCCCCTTCCCTCCCTCTCTCCCTCCCTCCCGGCCTCCGCGCCCGCCCTGCCCCTTCCCTCCCGCGCTGCCCCCATTCGCCGCCGCTGCCATTTGACCGTGGATATGACTAAATATGGGCCGCGATGGGCGAGGTGGGGCGGGCCGGGCCGGGCCGGGCCGGGCGGCGGCGCCCGGGAAAGGCAGCGCGGGGAGAAGCGCCGCCCGGCCCCGGCGCGACGGCGACGGGCGGCAGCGGCGGCCCCCGGCGCCTCCCGGGCCAAGGGGAGGCTGGTAAGTTGCGGCGCCCCCCGCGCGAGCGGGGGCCGGGCCGGGATGGGGCTGGGACGGGAGGGCGGCTGCGGAGGGGGCTCGCAGCCTCCGCTGCTGTTTGCAGCCTCCACAGGAGCGAGGCCGGGAGGAGAGGCTGGAGCAACGCGGAGGACAGCGGAGGAAATAACGTGGAGCCCAGCGGAGCCCCAGCCCGCGCGGGGAGCGCGGAGCCCCGGCACGGGGCTGCACAAAGAGCGCGGGCGGCCGCCGTGGCCGCCTCGCAGCCGCGCACACGAATGCAGGGATTCCTGCCCTCGCAGCCGC